CAGATTATTCCATAGTGTATCAATAGAATTGGACCAGATGCATGCTTTCAATACCAACATTGCTGTGGGACTGATGGCATTTTCTCCTTCGGTCAGAAGGGATGCTCCCTTGTTCTAGAGAATGCATGCTCAAAGCAGCTGAGTGCTCATTCCTTCTTTCAGGAAATGTTCATAGTCCCAGGCCCTCTGTTAGGCTCTGAGGATGCAATGTTGAGTAAAAAGCCATCCCTTCCTTTAAGAGGGAAAGAGAAGTACCCTATCATAGGAACATTATGGTGCTGGGCGACTGACTCCCGCTGTAAGCGTCTCAACTGCATGTGAAATGCAAAAGGCAAAGCAGATAACTACCAAGATGAATCAAGGAGAGCTTCACAGAGGAGGTGACATTTAGCCCTCTTAAAAAGATGCGACATGGAAAAGAAGGGAAGAGCTTTCCCGGCAGAGGGAACAGCAGAAGCAAAGGCACAGAGGCAGGAGATGGCCGGGCCAACATGACGGACAGCAGGTGCTCTGACACAGCTGTGTGGGATGTCATGCGAGATGATGCAGCTAAGGCGCTGGAGTCACAGAGGCCCGATTCTGCTAGTCTTTGCTGTTGGGGCTTTTCCAGAAGGCAGTGAGGGGCCGTCCTAGGTTTCCAAAGAGGGCAGTGACATGGTGCGAGTTTGTTTAAGAAAGAAATCCCAAGCTGCAGCAGTGTGAAGAGTGCCCTGGAGGAGGGTGTTGGCACAGGAAGCAGAGTGTGGAGATGCCGGCTTCCTGAACCATGAACTCCGTTCATGTGTTGATACTTCTGACTAGTCATATTGCATAGAAACCGGATGAGTTGTCTCTGTCCCACATGCCATCAGGAATTCAGGAAGAGCCCAACACCCATGATACTGAGGCCTAGGAACAGGTGAAGGAGGTCAGCTCCTCACCAGGATCTCAGGGATGTCTCTAGATTCTAGCTGGGATGACTTTTGCTGCTGGACACACGTACCGTGGTTCCTAGGACCAGCGGTGGGGACATGGCCGATGAGTGCCTTGAGCCAGGAAGGGAGTGCAAGGTACAGGGCCACCTTCTGGCATTGTCATATCTCCTCTGGGGACCTCTGGGGCTATTAACCCAGCAGCTTTGGCCAGTCAGTAGTAAACCAGAGCCCTTGTGGTAGTATTTATGTTCAGAGCTTGCAGGGGTGAAGGAAGAAGGGAAGATGCCATTCCACTTCCCTAGCACAGTACCCAGCACGTGAGAGGTGCTCAGTCAAGTTTGTGTGAACTCAGCCTTCCTGAAAACATCTTTTGGACCGAGACAGTCCCAAAGTAGAAGGAGCTGAGGTATCTTGAGCCACTGTTATGTGCCAAGCACGTTCTGGGGACTTCCACATCCCTTAAGTCATTCATCTTCTTCCCAATGAGCTAAGGGTCAGAGATTGTTAACAGCAAAGAAGCTGAAGCTCGGGGAGGTTCAGTCACCTCCCCAAGGCCACACAGCTAATGTGTGGTTGAGCCAGGATTTAAACCGGGGTTGCCTGGCTCCAGAGCCTCCTCCGCTTTCCTTCTCCCTTGAAGAGCTCTCCTGGGTTTGTGAAATACCCAAGGACCCGGCCGCTCCTTCCTCTAACAAGAACACCTATTCCCGGTGGATTGCCAGCCACTGTCTTGTGATACACCTTCCACCTTCACACCCCCGTTAAGGCGGCTGCCTGATTACAGCCACCTTCTCTGGGCCCAGAGTGATTGCCCAACTGCTGGTGAGAGGAGCACCGGTGGGAAAGGTTACAGGTGAATCTGGGTGAACAGCCCCCCGCCTCGCTCCCACCACACTCGGCAGTGATAACAGCCCCCTCCCACAGCGGGCAGTCCTCTGGCTCGGAGATGAGGAAGCTGGAGTTCACCCAATACACTGAAGGCAGAGCTGAGATCAACCAGGGATCCCCTAAGCTCCCAGCCCGATGCTCCCCCTTCGCCAGAGGTCTAAGCCCACCGGTCTTTTAACAGAACAGCCCCACCCTTACATTTCTCCTAGAATGAAGTTCTGCTGGGGGGAGCAAACAAGGTTTAAACACCACAGCAGCCTTGGGCTACACTGCCTGGGTTCTAACAAATGGCTCTTGACACTCTTCTGCCAGGCTCCGTCCTAAAGAAGGCTTTTGTTTCCTGCGGATATCCTTGGTTAATTATTTTTAAATAAATAATTATGTAGCCTGCGGTAGGGGAGAAGCCTCCCCGTGACCCATATTTGATCATCAGACGACTGGCCCTCTTCCTTCGGCCAAATTAAATAGGCTAAAACCAGAGTCTGTTTGACTTGAGGCTGAATCGATGATGGGGACAGGCTGGGAGGTGAACACACGCCTGACTCCCAGCGTTATCACCACTCTCTCAAGAGCAGAGCATCTTGGGGAGGTAAATAGCTGGCCAGGGAGTCAGAGAAAGCAGGAGAAAACAGGGTGAAGTCCAGTCCCTCCAAAAGGAAAGAATGAGAGGGGCAGGGGCCAGGCCTGCCTCCCAGGTTGCTTCCAGAGCAAAACATCGGGGCTTCTACAGGGTAGACTCCTTTGGGAGCCCTTCTCTAGGGACAGGTCATTCCATTCGGTACTTAGAATCTGCCCTAAGTTGTCTAGAATTCTAGAGTCTTAGGGCAAGTACCTTGGGGTCCATCTCCATACCAGCTCCCTCCCCACCTATAGTTACCATTTATTTAGCATTATGCTAGGAGAATTATAGATACTTTCTCTTATCCCCAAATGGCCCTGTTGAGGAAGCATTCCCTCCATTGTATGAGAGGAAGCTACAGCACAGATAGAGAAGTTATTTTCTCAAGATCACACGTCTCCAAAGAGCAAAGTCAGGATTCGAGCCTGAGTTTGGCAAGCTCTCGAGCCCACAGTCTTCTCCCTGTCCCTCCTTGTCAGAAGACGTTACCTGTTACTGATTTGAAACCTGCCTCCACTATTTATTGCTGGAGCTGCTCTGGCTCCTGAGCTCACGAGGCACACATCTCTCTTCTCTACATGACAACACTGTGAGCTGTTGGACGCATCCTTCCAGGAGCCCAGGGGCAAATGTGAGTGGAGAAAAAAAGAACCTAATGTGATCCAGTGGGACGGATAGACGGGGGTAAATAGGAGACCTCAGGGCCACAGATAGCTGCGGAGGATCACGGGCAGGACTGGGCAGGGGGTGCTGGTTTGGAGGCAGGGAAGCCTTTCTTCCTTTTAACTCCATGGCGCCTGTTCCCCCCAAAATGTGGTGCCCTAGACCAGTAACCGCCAAATTCCAATGCTGTCCCACTGCCACCGCCACCCCCACCGGCAGCCCCATGCATCAAAGGGTGGGGACAACCAGCAATAGAAGAAGCCCATAGAGCACTCATCAAGCCACTCAGAGTCAAGCAGGTTGCTCTTGAAGGTTAGAACCCTGCCTTAGCATTTGTTTGTTTTCTTCCCAGCCCTCTGAGGCTCTAGGTCATATCAGCCTTGGGTAACGTCCTTTGGACCATGCCAGGAAAACTGGCTTGAGGATCCTCTTGGCAAGCTGCGGCTTAGCGATTTGGAGGCTGCTTAGTGATTTGGAGGCTCCTGGGGGGACTTTGCAGCCTCCTCAGGAGGGTGGGGCTCCAGGGGGAGCAGGAGGCAGGGCAGGGGGAGACAGACCAGCAGAATTCGTATCCTTGATACAGTGAGAGTTAATGTGGGGAAAGCTGGTAAATGGAGAATTGTAGGCAGACAGTTGGCCCACCTCTCCAAACGATTGCATGCCGAGAGCATTCGTCTCCCTCCCCTGCAGGTAGACCCAGGGTCCCTCAAACCTTTTTGTTGAATCCAAAGTGAAAAACGAGAACAGGGTCTTTGTCAGCTTTGAACTTAAGAGTGAGATGTCCCAGCGACCCCCAGCTTTGTCTTTGGCTGTCTCATGGGCCCATCCAGCAGGACTTTGACCCTGCAAACTGAGCCCTGGTTCTTTGCCCCCCTCCACTCCCCCCCCCCACACCCTGCTCTCCCCTTCAGCTTCCTTCTGCCCTTCCCGAGCGCAGACCTCTGTTTTGGTTCCTGAGCAAGAGGGAGGGTCAGAGCAGTGAGGCTGTAAACATGCTTGGTTCTCCCCTCCCTTGCAGACCAAACTGCAGTGGTTTACTAAGGCATCCACATCCTGCCAGTATGCGCTGCCTGCCCCACGTCCTGGCAGACACGCCTCCCCCTGGGCCCTGGAAGTCAGCCAGATGGGACCCCATCAGAGGACTGTGAGTTCCAGAGCCAAAGACTCTCAGCTGCAGCCCCATCTCTGTCCTGCTCTGCCCGTGCCCCTGCCCCGCCCCCCCCCCCCCCCACCCGCCAGGGCCTCTCAGGCTCAGCCAAAACCATGGTGCGCAGAGACGGATGCCTTTCGCTATAGCTCTTACAGGGGTCCCTGGGTAAGTGCCTCTTTGTAGAAAGGGTCTACTCATACTTTGCAGCCCCGCATTGCCAAGAGATATCAGGGAGAGATTTCTAGAAGGCATTTCGAATAGTAAAACAAATACCCTTGCCGGGAGGAGAAGGCCAATCTCAGCACCTAAAGCCTGAAAGAACTATGCTAAAGCAACAAGGGGAATCCTCTTGTTCGTTGGAGTTCCTTCCTTCCTTCCTTCCTTCCTTCCTTCCTTCCTTCCTTCCTTCCTTCCTTCCTTCCTTCCTTCCTTCCTTCCTTCTTCCTTCCTTCCATTCATTCTTTCCTTCTTTCCTCTGACAGATACATATTGAGTGGTTACCAAGTGCCAAGACACTAGGGATACCGCCATGAACAAAACAAAACGGACAAAAATGCCCTGCCCTCAAGGAGCTTACGTTCTGGAATTTGAAGTCGAGCCCGCACCACCTTTCCCCTAGGCCAGCGTTTCCTGTGGGCGGACAGGGGAGGAGAAGGCACCAACTGGACATTCTTGGCGGCCACCCTTGCAAACCAGGGCAGCCGACTCAGTGTTCCAAGGCCCTGGGGTCCCTCACGGCTGCTGTTGGGTCTGTCTTGTTTTGCAGGCGTCCGCTACAGCCAGCCGGGGAACAGTGAGGTCACTTCCGCCTCAACAATCAGCCACCATAGCAACAATGCCATGGCAACCAGCCAATCTGTTTTACAGCAAGTCTCTCCAGCCAGTCTGGACCCTGGCCACAGTCTCCTCTCACCTGATGGTAAAATGGTGAGTACACCTGGGCCATTGTAGCTCTGGAGCTGATAAGATAAGAGGCAAAACAAACACAACTTCTCACAAGGCCTGCCTCAAACAATGAGCCATTGTAGCCCGGTCGTCGGGGAAAATGGGGGCTGTCCAGAGTTGGAACGGAAAGGTAGGACCAGTGACCCAGCCTTTGGCGGGTGGAAGAGGTGTTCGGTTTGAACCTGGCCAATAAATCTGACAGAGTTCTGCTCTCGTTTTATTGATTGAATGCCTCATAAAGGAGCAAGCCGGGTGGGACACTGTTTGTTTTGGGGCCGCCAATGACATGTGTGTTGATAAAATGTTCATTCATACCCCCCCCCCCACCACCAAGGCCTCCAAAGCCAGTCTTTTCACCTCAGAGAGGGCTTCACTTTGAAACAAACCCCCTCTTTCTCTTCACCACCCCCTGGTGCTGCCAGCCAGGAGAGAAACAGGATTTAGGGGTAGCAGGGGGGTGGAGAGAGGCTTCTTGAGCTGGGACATCCGATGGCACGTCAGGGAAGAGCACCGCACAAAAGGGCAGGTGGGGCGGGGCGATGCTTGCCCCACGAGTGAGAGACACCGACTTTGAAGTTCCAGGGACCAGGGTTCAGATCCCAGCTCCAGCACTTAATAGCTGTGTAGCCTTGGGCCGGTTACTGAACTACTCTAGGTCTCCTTCTCTCAACTATAAAATGCGGGTAATAACAATACGGTTGTTGGGGGAATAGATGTGCTCAGCACAGCGTCAGATGGTCAAGAATATCCGTGTTCCTCTCTTTGAGTGACGTTTTCCGTGGTCATACCCACAGCCCACACCCAGATGTAAGTTTAGCACACTTGGTGAGGGATAGACTCATTGAATTTTCAAGGCTCTAATTCTCTAGCCACACAAGGGCAGGGGAGCGCCGCCGGTGAGAGACAGGCATTACAACACCATTAAGGGTAGGAAATGGAAAACCCGATTCTTTGGGTCCTGCTCTGGGTTTCAGTGGGGGAGGAGCCGCAGGTTCCTGGCTTGACGCTCAAGGTGGAGCTGCACACATTCCCTCGAGGTGTCTGACCCAGAGGCAGATGGGGGCCCGAGCGGGGGACGGGGACAGGGAGCAGATGCCATCTCAGACCTTGACGTGTGCCCGCTGTGTAGGCAACACAGGAATGGTAAGTCACAGGTGATTGAGTCCCCAGCTCCCTGGAGGAGAAAACAGCGTGTAGTTTCCAAGGGGAGTGCTAGCCCGGGTCATGGTCTGTGCAGACTGCTAACAGAGGTAGCCGTCTGTGCAAAGGAAAATGAAAAGGCACTCCTGGGGGAGGCATTTGGTAGCCCCCTTGCCCTCCCCTCATCCCGTAAGCTGCTTCTTCATGAAGAACAGTTTGTGCGGCTACCTTGTGAGAGGCATAGGCAAGTCCTTATGAGTCACTTTGAGACCCAAATAGGTTAGGGGTAAGGATCGCCCGCGCTGCTCTGGAGAAGGGGGTCTCATGGAAGAGGTCTTGATTTAGTCCACGAAACCCTCCAAGTCTCTGCTCCTCTCACTTGAAGGTCCTTGGGGTTTGGACCCTCCTGCTCTTTCTCCTAAGAGGCAGGCAGCCTCACCCCAAGCCACAGCTCCTCCAAAGGCAGTCTGCAGACTCACTTTTTGCTTCCTGTTCCGCTCAGCAGTGCCCTTTTGGGTAGTATATTATTGGATTGATGATTGACCAAGAGAGCACACCTCAACGTTAGCAAACACCTGGAAGCTTGTTTGCAGGGACCGGCTTTTTACTAGTCTCCAACACCTTGGCTCGTATGTTATGTCACTATTACTGGTTGCCCACATGCAAGAATCTGTTTTCTGTTAATATATAACAGGTCCATCACAGATTGTGGTCTACCAAGGCAAGAGTGGAATATGGTTAAAAATAATGCAGGCAAGAAAGCCCATGTGTCCATGTCTTGGACTCTGTTGTTTATCAGCAATAGGATCGATGTTGCTTAACTTCAGCTTCCTCATCTGTAAAATGGGGGAGAATAATGCCTGCGTCGTGGGGTTGGTATGAGGATGACTTGTAGCGCTGCAGTTCTTTGGGTAAGCCCTGGGCAAGGAGTGATGTGTTCAGTAGGATGTGAATTCAAAATCTTCCCCCAGGGATTAGTTTTGGAAATATTGCTGATCCATGTGAGTTTTCCTTTGCACTGTCTGTCCCCCTCCCGTACCTGAGTGCATAGACAAAAAGCTGGCCAGCTTTAGGGTTACACATACTGGGGGGCTCCTGGGGGGCTCAGTTGGTTGAGTGTCCGATTCTTGGTTTTGGCTCAAGTCATGATCTTGGGATCGTGGGATCAAGCCCCGTGTCGGGCTCTGTGCTCAGCGCAGAGTCTGCTTACCCCTCTCCCTCCGCTTCTTCCCCCCACTCCGCTCATGCTCGCTTGCTCTCAAGGAAATAAATAAAATCTTAAAAAAAAAAAAAATACATACTGGGGCTCCTGGCTGGCTCAGTCAGTAGAGCATGTGGCTCTTAATCTCGGGGTCATGAGTTCAAACCCCACATTGGGCATATAGAGTTTACTTAATAAAAAATAATAACAATAAAAATTAAAAAGCACATCCTGGATACTTTCACAGTATCAAAGCAGTATGGCCTAACAGGGAAGAGCTCAGGCCTTAGAGGCAGATGGCCTGCTTTGAACACCAACACTACTTCTTGAGCACATTTCTTAACTTCTCTCAACTTCCATCTCCATGCCCACAGTGTGGGGATAGTAACACCAACCTCGTAGGCTGTAGGCATGAAGCACTTAGCATGAGGGAAAGTACTGCAAATGGCCCCATTCACGTAATGCAAACGCAGTGAGTTACCATGTAAGAGTCATGACTGGTGTCCTTGGCAGCCCCTGGCTTCCTTCAGTCCTGGAGGCAAGTAGAAAATACTGGTTGCATTTTAGAGTGGAAGGAACTTGACCAAGGTTACGCAAAAGTAGCAGGTGGAAGGGATTTGAACTCTCAGCAAAACCGAGTGTGAATTCTGGCTTCCTCACTCACTAGTCAAGTGACATAGGGCTGGTCTGTCCACTCTCGGGAGGATCAGTCTCTTAACTGGTAACTACCGTAGGGGCAGTGGTGAGAACGCCCTCCCCACTTGTGTCAGTATCTGTTGAGGACAGTCAGTGGAAGCACTTCACAAACTCTAAAGCCGTGTACCTTGAAGTTGTTTTTATGGTTGGCATCTGCATTTCTCTTTCACCATGAAAATCAAGCACTGAAACGGCAGAGATTGCCGTCACTTCATTGACTTTCTCCAAAGGGACTACATTACCCAAAGGAAGTCTGAAGGCAGGTTACTGATTTCTTTTCTTTCTTTCTTTCTTTTTTTTTTTAATGACTCTGACATTTTGAAAAACAAGTCCAGCGAACAGGCTGGTTCTCTCTTGTTTGATGTGGTCAGAATTCCTTCTTGGTCATGTGACACACCCCCCAACTGATTTCTTGATGCCCATTTTAAAAACACAAACAAACCTGTTTGGTTTTTTTCTTTCTTTCTTTTTCAAATTAACCTTGGAAGCTATGGGGTTGACCAGAAGGTCAGGGCAGGAGATAGTGTCTTACCTGGGTGCTAGTGTGAGGCCCATCATTTGACAAGCTCTAGAAGAAGGCACCTGGCCTACTCAGACATAATGTATGTATCCTAATCCTAAAGTACCTCTGAGTGGTCCTGATACCATCAAGAATGTCTGGAGTAGTTCAGAATGACAGGAGACATCTCTCTTCCTTCTTCCTCCCCCACCTCTCTCTCTCTCTTTCTTTCTAAGATTTTATTTTTAAGTAAACTCTATACCCGATGTGGGGCTCGAACTTAGAACCCCAAGATCAAGAGTCACATGCTCCACTGACTGAGCCAGCCAGGCGCCCGAGACATGTTTTCTTAATAATAATTTTAGAAATGATTTTAACACTATAAATAGTAAACTACTTTGTCACCAAAAAAAGCACGTGCGTGTGTGTATGTGTAAAACTGATAGCTCCTTATAATTAATGGGGAACCATTGGAAGCAGTTCTGAAAACATCAGAATCAAAGCAAGCACATCTGTGACAGCTGTTATTGTTCAATACTGTTTCGAAAGGTCTAAGCAAGGCAGTGAGACGTACGCACATGTTAGTGCTAGCAGGGAAGAGACCCTGTCAGCATGTGTGCTGAAGAAAATCAATAAGGAAAAGACACTATTAGGAATAAATAAAAGGATTTGATTCCCCCAATGAAAAGATGCAAAGTGGCCCTGTGTGTAATAAACTCATTAAAACCAGTAGCTTTCTCTTACTCATCTGCCATTAAAATATAATGGTGCAAGTTTCCTCATCTGTAAAATGGGTGGCTGAGGTGATCAAATGACAGTGCAGAGAGACATGCTTGTAAAAGACAAGCCTTGGGGTCCAGGGCTTATCATTTAGTATCTTTGTCATTATGATATCAGCTCCTTGACCAAAACAACAAACATCTTTAATGCATAGTGGAGATTGGGAAAAGGTAGAGAAGCCCAATGATGGCGGATCTCCCCCCCAACCCTTAGTAATAATTGCAGGGGTGGGGAAAGGTCCTCTATAAAAGGTAAGAATTTGACTTCCAGAGTCAGGCAGACCTGGGTTTAAATACCAGATATACCACTTGCTGGGTTATTGGATCTTAGGCAATATACATATCTACTCTGAGCCTCGGTTTTTCCATCAGTGAAACGGTGGATGTATCTAGCTGATACCATATCTACCTGATACAGATCTACCATGAAGCGTCTGCCTCACGGAACCACAGTGAGGTTTGTTGGTTAACGTATGAGTGGTACTTAGTGGGGCCTGTATCGGTGAGAGCTTTCCTGCCCTTCTGCCTAGTCCCTAATCTGCTCTCACTAGGTTAGACTTCAGTCATTATTTTTAGCAATCACATATCTTTAGCACCAGGAAGAGAGAAGGCATGGAGCAGAACAGAGGATATTTCCAAACTGAGCAAGGGACAGTCCCACAATACCCAGGAGCAGAAGAATCCCTAAGGCAGGCAGGTAACTCAAAGACGGTCAACAGATGGAAGCACCATAAGGGAAGGGATTGTTGTATATTTTGCTTCTCAATCTTCAGCACCTAGAACAGTGCCTGCGCCTCAGTGGATGCTTCATAATTATTGTTGAGCGAATGGATGGATGGATGGATGGATGAGTGAATTAGCTGTGCAGAGGAATTGCTGAGCCGTGTCATTTTGGACACTGCTCATTGCAGTCCCGGTTGCACTCACGTTGCTCTTGTTTTTTCTCTCCAGCAGATCTCCGTCTCCGGAGGTGGTTTGCCCCCTGTCAGCACCCTGACGAATATCCACAGCCTGTCCCACCATAATCCCCAGCAATCTCAAAACCTCATCATGACCCCCCTCTCTGGAGTTATGGCCATTGCACAAAGTAAGCTCCGTTCTTGGTCACAAAACCTAGGGGGGCAGGGAGAAGAAGGGTGGGCAGTAAGTCAACCTGATTTTAAAAAAGGTTTATAGAAGGCCCCCTTCAAACTCACCCGCCTCTTGTAGATTTGATTCCACTTATGTTTAGTTCCTTATCTCTCTCCTCAACAATATTTGGACTGTTTAGCCTAAAGAAAGAGAAGACAATGGAGTCACGTCGAATCTTGGTCATGGCTCACCAGCCGAGCATCCTGGGGCAAATCATTAACCTTAATGAGGTTCAGTTTCCTCATCTGTAAAATGGGTTGCTGAGGTGATCAAATGACAGTGCAGAGAGACATGCTTGTAAATCTATAAAGCGTGAGTATGTGTAATATCATAGCTTACACTTTTGTCTCGTGTTCATTTCTACCCCTAAGGATGTGGTAGATGTTCCAGGAAGTTGTGCTGATGTTTCTTTGTGTTGGCCAAGATGGAGCAGTGATGGGCTTCCTTCTAAACAGGGAATTTGGTGTGGTCATAGGACACCTCTTTGGCCAGTGGTGAAAGTACAGTGAGAACTCCGAGGGAAACTGTTGTAGCATCTCTGAGTCTTTAAGGAGAAACATGCCTGAAGACGGGGGATGGACCCCATCCTTCCAGCTCTAGGAGGCTCTTGTTCCACGGCGAGCCTGTAGCCCCTCACAGATGGGCCAGTTCAGGCCACGGGAAGGCTGACGGGGACCGCATCTGTGGAGGCCGCTCTCAGAATTCTCATGTTGATGAGTATTCAGTGTGTTTTCAGCTTCCTCATGACAGCTCAGGCCAAGTCATCACTGTGTGACACTGGGAAGACTTCCCGAGAAGGCTCGGGAGAGATCTGAGGATGGCACATTGCTCATCTTTCTCTCCACCTAATATCGCCCCCTTGTCCTTGTGGCCTCCCTGTATCGAGTGCCCACACCGACCACCTCTTTATTTTGTTCCTGCCTTTTCCTCTTTCTCTCTTCTCTCTAAGTCAGCTCTAGCCAAGGTGGCAACTCAGATCACTTCTGAGGAGAATGCCTTATGCGCTCTTGGAGGGCAAAACAGGGCTAGGCCCATGAGAGCACACAGCTTTACTGAGCATATCTTGAACTGCTCGGAAATTGATGTACTCTGCAGTTGTTTTGTTTTTTTGCAGAGAGAAACGGGACTAGAGAAGCTTTTAGAGGACTCACGAAATAAAAAATTATTTCAAACGTACTGCCTTTTCACAGGAATATGGTAACCATACTAACACCAGGGTTTGAGATTGAGATAGGATACCTAAAACCAGCTTGCTTGCCTTCTAGAAGATTTGGTTAAAAGACCCATGGGTAAACTATGTCACCTCTTCATTTCCACAACCAAAAAGATACACAAACCATCCCACCTAACCTTCTTTCTTCCCACATCAAGCTTTGGCCGACACACACACAATTCTTATATTTTCTTAGGCACTCTCTCAACTAAAATTTTCCCGGAAGCTGTTCCATATTTTTTTCAGTTTTGCTCCTCCTGATTTCTTCCTCCCATACTTCTCCAGCTTCTTGCTATATCCTTAACCTCCTACTGCAGGTGGGCAGCACCAGAGTGTACATTGCCCTTGGAAGGGTGTTCATGGTGCATGTGCATGTGTGTGCTTGGAGTGGGGTGGGCAGGGCATGAAGAATGGTGAGGATCACCAGAAAACTTGGCCGAGACGCGCGGTCCTAGCCGGTGGAGTGTCAGGCTACAGAGTTGCTTGCAGGCATCCTCCTGTGTGGCCAACTCCTGTCCCGTTGAGTCTGAGGGTCCTGCCTCAGGCAGACCGTGATAGCAAAGCACTTGGCCCTGCCAAGCCCTCATTCCCTATTCGTCCGCTGGATGGACAGCATGCTTCTCGGGCAGTAGCCAGTGCCCAGAAAACAGGGGAAAAGGCCACGAGTCACACTCCGTGGGAGCTAGAATGACATCAGTGGCTCTCGGTCCTGGAATTGAGGCACAGCAGGATCACAGACTGTGTTGAAAATAAGATTCCTGGGCCTCACCTCTGAAGGTTCCGACTCATTAAGTCTTGGGTGAGGCGGAGGAATGTATATTTCTTGAAGAGCTCCCCCAGATGATTCTAAAGCCCAGGCAGGTTTCAGAATTGTGCCCTCAAATGTCATCCACTCTCAACAGGGTAATTGGCTCTTCTGGGAAGAGATTTCCCAAAAGAGCAGAGTAATAGGCTCCTGGGAAAACAGCAAGTCCATGGGGCCTCCCAGGAGACCCCAGTGGAAGGTGGGAGAGGGAAATGGGATATCAGGGTATCAGGTGAGACTCGGGCTTGGGGAGCTGAGCCCCTGGGGAATGGGAGATAGTGCTGGTCTGAATGGCATCAGAGGACCCGGCCCCATTCCCCTGCCCCAGAAGAGCCAGGAGGGGGCTTATTCTCCCTTCACTTCGGCTCAGGGGTCTCACCTTTTAGGTTTCTGATAACCATATCAGCTAAAGCCCTGAGTAAGCAACAGCTGAGGTCTTCGTACTATCTCCACGGAGGACTGCCCACAAACCTGCTTCTGGAACCTTCTCCATTTCAGGGAAGTCTCTCTGGGTGTCCCTTCCATGCTTGCCTGAAAGAGACCTTTTTCTGGATTTCTTCTTCATTCCATCCTGCCCCCAGTTTCACAGAAGGCAGGGTCAAAGGAACATTGGCAGCTCCAGGAAAGAGGTCGGGGTGTCTTGCCCCTGATCCTCTCACCCCCACTCCCACCCTGGCTTGGCTGTCTCCCCCAGATTCCCACCCAGGGAGCACATGGAGTTGGGGAGGGGAACCCAGTCTCTGCAGTGCTGGCCCCTGTTCTGAAGAGGCCTCAGGATGTGGATGCAGAACAGGACCCCAGAGGCCTCACACCTCCAGAACAGAAAGATGGCAAGAGCCCCTATAAACTGCCAACCTTTTACTTACGACTTCCTCTTCCCAGTACCTGGACCTTTTGTGCCACAAGCCCTGTGCCGCCAGATAAGACCTGTCTTCTTCAGAGACTGGTTGAGGTCTGGTGTTTTTCTCCCCTCTCTGCTACGGTCAAGAGAATAAGCATCTGACCTCCCCAGGGTCTTTGCACCAGTTCGCTAAATGAGGGTCTTTGTACTCCTGGGATGGTGCAGGTTGTTGTTGTGTTTTGTTTGTTTGGGGTTTGGGGGGGGGGGGTTTGTTTTTGTATCAAAATGTGAGTTCCTGAACACTCCTGCCCTCTGCTGGACAGACAGGTCTGGGCCATAATCTGTGCCTTAGAGTGAGGGTCTTTAGCTGCCCTCAGGGCACCCAGGCAGGCCTCTCTTGGAGTCAGGTCTGGAGGGAGTAGGCTCGTTAGAGGCCACCTTCCCAGGGTCCTGGCAACCTCAGGGGAGCCAAGTTTGGGAGGATGGTTCTCAGGCCTCGGATCTGTGTAAGCCCTTTTCCAACCACAACCCACTGTGGAATGTGAGCAAGTCCATCTCTCCAAGCCTCAGTTTCTTTGTAGAATGGATCCATAAAACCATTTCCCATGCAATCTCTCATGCAAGGCCCCACTGTGCCTGGCACATAGCAGGGGCTCAGTTAGTGACTGTTCCCGGGCACTCACCTCTCCCTATCCCCGCAGCCACCTCTGATCTTTCCCTCTTGCTCCCACAGGCCTCAACACTTCCCAAGCACAGAGTGTCCCCGTCATCAACAGTGTGGCCGGCAGCCTGGCAGCCCTGCAGCCTGTCCAGTTCTCCCAGCAGCTGCACAGCCCTCACCAGCAGCCCCTCATGCAGCAGAGCCCCGGCAGCCACATGCCCCAGCAGCCCTTCATGGCAGCCGTGACTCAGCTGCAGAACTCGCACAGTAAGGACGCAGGCGTCGGGGGTAGGAGTGTGGGGGGTGGGAGTGGGGATGGGCGCCACCAAGGGCCCTAAGTAGCCCGCATTGCCCTCTCTGGATCTGTACTTGCTAGGAAGTGTACTGATCGGGTCACTTTTGCCTACCTGTTATCAACCCAGACAATTTCTCAGCATAACCCTTGTGTGGTCTGTGCTGTGTGGTCTCTGCCTTTCCTAGACCTACCCTCTACCTCCGTGACTCCTGGGGGAAGGTTTGAAGAGGACAGTGGAGGCCTACGCGCAAAGGGGGGCTGGAGATAGAGTGCAGGGGTGGCACCCATGGACAATCCCACCAGGCGGCCACAGCGCCTTTTCCCCATGAGCCTCAACTTAGCCCTTTCAATCTAAAATTCCAAGCCACCGTTACCAAACGACAAGAGTGGGCATGCAATTTGCATTCCCTGAAGTTGAAGAATCTTCTAGAATCCCCATGCTGTCCAATTGACACACCCCAAACATCTCTAATCGAGAACCACGGACAGAGGTGGAAAATACCACTTGCGTGCCGTCTTGGATAAGGAACAGTAGTGCTTCTGCGCTCCCCCCGCACCCAGGCTATTTCTCATATCCTATTTCTCCACCTACTCTTAAGGCCTGTCTTTCAACCAGTTAGTTCCCACCCACTCCAGCCACTGTATCTCTGCCCTACATCCTGAGCCCCAGGCCCCCAGCCAGCCCTCTGGCCAGATCAGGATACAGCCCCTGGCCTACAAGTTTGGGGAGAAATCACAGCAGGCAGGGTCCCACAGGAACACCAGAGAAGTCTCTGGAATAGTGTTCATCTTGGAGTCAGACAAACCTAGGATTTAAATCCTGGCTCTGAGGCTTACCAGCTGTGTAGCCATTGGTAAAGTTACTTAGCCACTCTGAGCCTCAATTTCCTCATCCATAAAATGGAATGTAGAATGATTATGGAGATGAGATAAATAGTGTAGAGTGATTATGGAGATGAAATAAGAATAGGTATGAACTGTGTTTGGTAAACATAAGAGTTACAGAAATGCAGGTGATGATTTATTAAGGGACTGTTTAATAGGAGGCAGGAATGGGGAAGAGGATTTTTGTTTCTCCCCTGGCTGCCTGACAGAGCTGTGCGTCTGAGGAAAAGCAGCCAAGTTCAGCCTTCTTCTCTCCTCGGGGCGCTCTCCCCACCTCAGGCCTGCAGAGCTGGTTTCTAAGCACCATCTCACATTCCAATCACATTTTTTTGTGGCTTCTGGAAAAATCTGCCATAACCTGTAGCAGAGTCTGGGACCACATGTACGCACTTTCCTTCCATTCTGGACCCGATAATATGCCCCCACTTGTCCCTGCCCCTCGCCAGGCCCAGGTGGGATTGTCAGAGAGTGGTCCCCAGTGATGACCTGTGGACTGCTGAGCCCCAGCTGGGGGCCCCAGGACCAGACAACAACCAGCCTCCCTCCACAGGAGGGACAAGCTGGGGTGGCAGGCAGTGACCATGACCCCGTCCCCTACTAGGGGATGCTGTGGTAGATAGAATTGGCTGCTCCTTCCCTCGTGGCCAAATATCCACATGCTTCTGTTAGTTGGTCGAATTTATATGAATCTAATGGATAAATCACATGAGTCAAAAGGTTCTAGACTTAGCGAACAAGTACTGGAAAAACTGGAAAATGAGTCACATGTCCCTGAAGGTTTTATTTGCATCTAGTCTCCCCTTGTCTATCATCCTTCAACTTTCTGTGATGGCATAGTATGACCTATGACGTCATTTTAGCACAAATTGGAACAACCCAGAATTACACAATGAATTATACCCATGTCTAATTATAATTATTAATCAGTTTATAATTGCCTGCCTAAGACCTGGCTCTTGAGTCATGGCAGATATGATAAGCTTGTGCTGGCCAGCTTGTTTGTGTTTGCCAGCTACTTAGAACTTTTTTGGACTTAAAATATCCGATGCACCACGTATGCGTAAGGGCCATTTGTTGATGCGTAGGCATCTAACATTTAATTGAAAGTCAGGAGAACAGAAGTGCTGTCCATTCCTATCGACAAGACACTGTGCAAAGCTGTTTGTCTATTTGATACAAAGTACTTTACACATGATGTTTTCTGATCCTACAACAGCTATCATCCCCATTTTACAGATGAGGAAATTGAGGTTACGTAACTTAATCGAGGAGCCAGAATTCGAACACGTGGCCGTTCTTTTTACCGTGTCACACCGCCTTCCAAAACATCGCCAGCGCTGCCCCGCTTTTCTCTGCCTGGGGACGCGGGAGCTATGGTGTGGGATGGGGGGTCTGTAGCTGTGCTGACGCCTGTGTGATCTGCGCCTTGACCGTGTCTCCACTCTGTCTCTCCAGTGTACACACACAAGCAGGAACCCCCCCAGTATTCCCACACCTCCCGGTTTCCATCTGCGATGGTGGTCACAGATACAAGCAGCATCAGTACGCTTACCCACATGTCTTCCAGTAAACAGGTAATGCCAGCAGGAGGGGGGGCGGGGGCAACGAGGGGGGGCGGGGGCAACGACCCAGGCTGTTGATGCGCAGAAAGGGTGACATGACAGTGCCCTGCGGACTGAGCCTGGTCCTTCCCAGGCCCCTGGTTACTTGCTAAATGAATCCCCAAGGTCAGAGGGCAAGGAAGATGGGCCACAGGCCAAAAGGACGTCCTGCTCCCCCAGCTATCCCAACAGAAGCACTAGATGACCAGGGCTTGATAAACCACTGGAGCCTGCATTACACAGAGTCTTTAGGTATTGAGACTGAGTATTTCCCAGTGGATTGAACAGTGGTGCATGGAAAAGGTGTTTCCAAGGGCGACTCGGAAAAGTCACACCCTCTGTAGCATTTCACGCTTTGCAAGAGGGATCCCTGAGGGTTCTCCACAAATCAATCAATGGAAAAAGAGTAGAGAGTCAGGGTCCTGAGGCTGACTCCCCCGTCCAGGACCCATGCGGGACCCAGAACACTGTAAATTCCAGAGAATGACCCAATTCTCCCAACCCATGGAGATTCCCCAGTAGACAGTCGGGCCTTACCGGGGCCTGCGTCTACTTGTTGTTTTATCAAGAAACTCAGAATTGACTTCCCAGTGCACTACAAGCGGGAAATCCAGAGGCTTTGTCACTCTCTCAGTGGATGGCTAGTTCCCACCTCCAGGTAGAGCTGATGGAGCAGTAAAGCCAACCAAAGACAAGGCTTGTCACTACAGCTTGGACAGCTGGACTGTCACGGGACACAAAGAGTTAGGAAACGGGACAAGAGTCTGAACACGCAGGACACTTCCAGAATAATACAATAGGACCTTTTAGGAGCTGGGGTCTGTGCGGTGTGGGAACTGTCCGGCCTCTATTGATTACTAGATAAGTAGGCGACAACCTTGAACTTCGTGTCAGAGGCTCTCAGCGGGGTTTGGTCTTGTTGATGGTCTTTTTTCCATCCGAGTCCTGCAACTCACACCTCTTTCACTGCCATGTGCTACCAAGCAGGTTCTTTCATGGGCTTGGGTTCTCTGCTCTTCCCTTTGCCCACATCTCCTCCTGGTCCTGCCATATTATAGAGCAGGTGGGTTCTACTCCTGGTTTTGCCCCTTGTTTGGTGACCTTGACCTCTCCGAGCCCTCATTTCTTCACCTTTAAAATGAGAGTCATAGCATGGACTTGTTCTGGGGATTCGATGAGGTCATGGAGATTAAGTGCCTGGCACGTCTTGGGTGTGTGCATGTGCGCTCATGAACACACGCACGCACGCACGCACGCACATGGCGTAGGCAGCTGGGCTCTGGAGTTGGGGGGAGAGGAAAAGGTGTGTGGGACCTGCTCTGCCACTCTTCTCTCACCCAATGGAAGATGAAAGGACACCCCCCCCCCGTTGCCCTGCCCTTCGACTCCCGTGCGATTTCCCACTCTTTGTAGTGAGCAGGGAAAACATTTATCTGTGCTCACAAATCTCAATCAGGGGGGCAGCCAGGCGCAGCGGCCCTGCTTGGGAATACCTTCCCCTTTGAAAGGTTTATCAATCCATCTGCCGCTTGGTCAGCCCTAGACAGGGCTCTGATTAATTATTCCTGTCTTTCCCAAGTTGACTTTGATGCTTGCTTGTTGAAACAAGCCCTCTGAATTCAGGAAATGGTCTCTTAATCAAAATACTCCGAGGTGCTCTCTGAGACACGGCACTGGCCCCCAAATGGCTTCTCCCCTCCGCTGGACAGAGTGGCCAGCCGACCTTGAAGCTGCATGAACAGCCTTCCAGAACCACCGTGAAGTTGTCCCTAAGTCCCTGGGCGGTTCAGGAGTCTCGTGGTACACTCATTTCTGGGATGATGAGAAGGATGATTACATTTAGGATCAAACTATTCACGGAGCCCTTCAGGTTTCTACTTCTCGTGAACATGATCTCATCATTTTCTTTTTACTGCCTGGTATAAGGAATGTACCAAGTATTCCTTGGTACAAAGGAATGAACTGAGGCTCAGAGAGGGAGAGTGACCTGCCCAAGTTCTCACAGGTGGTCAGTTCTAGAGCTGGACCTTCAGACTCTGGGCTTTGACTCTAAATCCTGCCCTCCTTCCACTTCAACAGTACTTGCCTTCCGATCTCCATCTCTAAAACACCCACAGCGTTTGCTGCTTTTGAGGTCTCAGCGGTCAGGAACAAGCATAAAATTCAGCCCACGTAGGTGTCCCCATCAGGCAACTTTCTTCCTCCAGACTGAAGGAGAAGAGGAATGGGAAAGCACAATGAAGTCCAGGGTAAAGGTGCTGCCTCCCGACAGAAAGATCCAAGGTGGAGAAAATTTGTACCAACTTTGTTCCCCAGGCAAAGGGTCAGAAATGAATTCTGAAAGAGATCTGGTGGCAATTCTGTTTTCTCTTTGTTCTAAAGTATTGTTTTCCAAAATGAGTTGCAAGACTGTTGCTGGGAACCGGGGGCGCATGGTGTGAGGAAAGGAGGATTCTTCGGTCATACATGTTGGGGGAATGGCTGGG